TCCTGGTGTTTTCTCACTGGCATTTTCCAGCGGGTCCAGGCAGCAGGAGGAGGGAACACTGCAGGCCTGCACTCCTGGGGCACTGCAGTTGAAGTACCTGCGGGATGGACATGGGTTGATGTGTGTCCATACACCTTTGGGGAGCAGGGATGTGGTCTCCATGCCCCCCAGACACAGAGCTGGATACCAACTTTGGGTTCAATTTATCCCTCCCTTCTCCAGGCTTTCCCAGGGCTCCCAACACACACCCCCAGGTCCCAACCCATCCCTCTCTTTTCCACACTGTCCCATAGCTTCCAACACCCCAACAAGAGTCCCCCCAGCCAGAGACCCCCCAACAAACAGGGTCTCCAGCCCCATGGTAAGGAATGGGGTCCCTCATACACCCCTGACTCACGGATTGGCCTCCCAGTCACGGTAGGATCCGAGCCCACAGCACTGGAGGTTCCTCTGCACCTCATCCACCAGGAATTGCAGGTCAGGATCATCCTGGTAGCGCAGGAGGCAGAGCAGCAGCACATCCCGGAGTGCATCCCGGAGCCTCCGCCGTGCCAGCAGCAACAGGAGCCCTCCCAGCACCTCCAGCCCCCCAAAGACTAGCAGGGCACCCAGGAAGAAGCGCAGCAGGCAGGGGTTGGCACGGAGGGCACCGAGGCAACCAGCCAGGGACAAGGCACTGGCCCCCAGCCCTGCCAGCACGAACAGCAGCATCGGATCTGAGCCCAGCGGTGTCCCCCACGTCCCCCCACTCAGGGGGCCCTTGGCCAGCAGCCCCCACACCCCCACGGCCAGGGCCACCAGTCCCAGCAGGAGGAAGAGGAGGTTCCAGAGGAAGGCGAAGTAGCGCACACACTGGCTGAAGGGGCTTGGTTTGGGGGGGACAGGGTACCACACCCTGGGGTGCTGCTGGGATGTGCCACCGGCCAAGGAGTCACCATCATCATCATCCTCAGAGGAGGAGTAGGGCAGCTCCACCAGCTTGGATGCCTGGACAGACAGAAGAGTCACTCACAGCCCCCCAGAAATTGCCCCCCCCCCCTTGTACACTCTCTCCCACAGCCACAGGCTCCTGCAGACACCCTGCACACCCTGCTGAGCCTCCCCACACCCAGCCTAGCCTCTAACCCTGCCCATCACGGGGGTCCAAGCAGATGGGGAGCACAGGGATGTACCCCAGAAATCCTGCCCCTAAGGGACTCCTAGATCCATCCCTATGGAGACCCCCAGGGATGCAGGGTGGGGAGAGCAGCGTGGTACCCAGAGGCTAGGGGACATGGTGGGAGGGGAATGGGGGT